TGGTGCTTATGGGGTGTCGGTCCGGGACGTGTGTGTACGAGGCTGGGAGGGAATCATCACAGTATACCCACTACAATAAACTAGACTACACCACTGGTTCTACCATATTAAAATAAGAGACTACACAAATAGCCTGAGGACCTTCTGATCCTCGAGAGAGAATTATGTGAACAGGTCAAAGGACAAGTAACTATACAGTGAGCAGAGGACAGAGAGGATTATCTCTTAGAGAGCTGGAGAGACTGAACTGACAGCTGACTACTATGTGTTACCTGATCCAGTGGATTTACAGATTGGTGACAAAAAAAACCTGGTCACGATACAGCGCTGAGACATCAGAATGAGCCCTTTCTTTAATAACGATGGACTGTTCTCTTTCAATTAACCCTGTTACTCCCTCTTCCATTCACAACCCTCTTTCCTTTCCACCAGAGCGGTCACCTTCCAGCTGTCCGACTGTGGGACGTGGCAGAACGTAGACAGGTGGCGGAGCTCCAGACACACAAATATGGCGTCTCCTGCGTGGCTTTCTCCCCCAACAGCAAATACATCGTCAGTGTGGGAAACCAGCACGACATGATGGTCAACGTCTGGGCGTGGAAGGTCTGGCTCACTATGATGTTTATGATTAATACCAATCTCAGCAGCTGGTTGGCTTAGCATGAAGACTGGAAACAGTAGCAAACTCCTGGATCTGCCCAGACATTTTGTAGTAGAAAATCTCAATGTGCTTGAGCTCTCAGAAGACTATAATTCTAACTTGTATTGTTGTGTTGTTCCCTTGCAGAAAGATGTAGTAGTGGCTGCCAACAAGGTGTCCAGTAAGGTGACAGGTGTGTCTTTCTCTGAGGACAGCTCCTACTTTGTCACTGTGGGGAACAGACATGTCAAGTTCTGGTATCTGGACCACGGCAAAGCCAGCAAGGTATTAAAGGACAATGTTGGGTTTATATAATATGTTGAAAAAGAAGTTGCAGGCTTCATTTTGCTTTAGTGCTGCTTGGATTTTAGAAGCAAACATTTTGACACAGTATGAAAAAAGGTCATCTCCTTGAAAATTGTCAACCTGAAAACTATCACAGTTAACTGTGAGTTTGGTTTTGTCACACTTCCTCTTTCACCGTTCCAGAGCTGAGTGTGTTCACATCAGTGAGCTTCACACAGTTTCCTTCACAACTGCGTATTCAATTAAAGAAACTGAAATAAAGAAATGTTAATACTAGTCACACATTTAATCGTGAAATCCTTGGCTCTTCATTTGGCTTTTCTCTGATGGCTTTCACACCTTGAATTTCTACTTTGGAAATAATACAAATAAATACATACATACACATGCACACATTTCAAAAGACTTGGATGGGGATTGTAATGTCGACATAAGCTGAAATAGTAGCTGTAACCACTATTCTACTTTAAGCACTCCAGTCTGAACTAACCCTCACCCCTCTGCGGTATTTAGGCCAGCGCTCCTGTTCCTCTGCTAGGCCGCTCGGGGCTTCTGGGAGAGCTGAGGAACAACTTCTTCTGTGGTGTGGCCTGTGGACGAGGCTCAAAATCTGACTCCACCTTCTGCATCACCTCCTCTGGCCTGCTGTGTGAGTTTAACAGCAAGAGGATGCTGGACAAGTGGGTGGACCTACGGGTGAGTGACACACAGGAAGTATCCAACACTGACGTTGTTGGGGCTCTTTAGCTACCACTACTTTTAAATGTAATCAATTATTCAACGAGGTATTGATTTGTGTCATTCCACCTAATGTGGGTGCTAACGTTCATTGCTGTGTTTCATCTCTGAAATAGAGATTCACTAAAATGTTATAGGATATTGTATTATTCAAATTACACGTTGTGGTTTTATGGGAATGTATTTTGATTTTTTTTTTTTTACCTTTTTTGACCGACCAGGCTAGCTGCTAGCTAGTCTTTGGCTGTAGTATATTTAACACACTGATATGAGTGGTATTGATCTTAAATAGTAAATAAACATACTTATACAAATGCTGAAATATGTCTTTAAAAAATACAGTTGTTTTTTATGTTTTAAAATGTTTAAAGTTTGTGCCAATCATGTACGCTGCAACCTTCCCTTTGCTTTGTTACTAATTGGAGTTGATGGAGTTGAAGTCCCTTTTCTATTCTCAGAACAACCCTATTTGCTGGCTATTTCTTTAAGATTGACATTGACGAGGGTTAAAAACTAACTCATTAATCATTAATTGCAGAAGATCAGATTTGTTACTTTGAAAGGCCCTAAATGCTGCAATGCTGTTTTTTTATGAAACATATGTCACTCATGTTATTTACCTTTACCAGTGTTAAATATACAGTATGTTTATGTACAGCATTAGTGAGTGCTGTACCACCAATAGTGCTTATGGTTAGCATCCAGCTGTGGTGTTTAATCAAGAGGTGAAGATGAAGGGGTGTGGGTCCTGCTCCTGCCTTCTGTCAGAGGATCAAAGAGGGATTAGCGACAGGGACGAGGACAAGTACAAGATGTGTTTGGAAGTATTCCAATAAGGACAATCATTAGTGACAGGCAGGACTGTTGTGGACTCACCTCCACTTCATTATAATTGATTCTATTTGCATCTGTGAGTGATAAAGCTATGAAATGAGCTGATGTGCCTTTTGTGTCCTGCCTTGCAGACGGGCGTGGCCCAGTCTCTTTCTCTGTCTGAAGATATGATCTTCTGTGGATGTGCGGATGGAACGGTGCGAGCCTTCAGCTCTGTTGACCTGCACTTTGTCTGCACGCTGCCGCTGCCGCACCCCCTCGGCTCTGGCATCTCAGCCGCCAGAGAGGCCAGGTGAGAAAAAAGCTCAGGAGTAACACAGCCTTTCCTTGGCAGGGATCCACTGCAGGATCAATTGCTCTCTATTTATAGTGTGTCCTGTCTCAAGTGGCACTATTTCACTCTCTCAATAACTACTAAATGTTTCTTATTTCAAGACAATAATGGCCCTATAAAGCAGCTTCATTCCTTTTTTAAAGCCAATATAACTGTAATTATCAATATTTTATTGTAATTTTACAGGCTTAAAATATATTTAAAAATCTGATTTTATATCATGCAGTGGGTTATTTATCTGCTGTTTATCTCTACCACTCTATTCTGCATTCTGTTGTTCCTGCAGTGTTGTCTGTCTGGTACCCCCAAAGGGGTCCCCTGACCTTCGTTTTGCCTTTGTGTTTTGGTGGACTTGGTAATTTCGTCTTTTAGATCATAAAACACTGGGTAAAAAGATTTTTCAAAAATGCTTGATTTAGTTTTTTACATTACATTACATTACAGAAATAAGTTGCAGAATACTGTACATTTTACATAAATCTGTGTCTTATTTTGAATGAGTAGAATTTTCTTTTCCAGGGACACTGCTGTACAGTCTACAAAGGCTGAGCTATTGCAAAATCGATAAAAAATCAGGTGCACACTTTAAGGCAGAGAAGCTTTTTTGTGAATCTTGTCAAGTGTTTTTTTCAGAAATCTCTCTGTTATCTGGAGAGACTCTGAACTGAATGCATAGACTATCACATAATATTAGATTGGTATCATATGAGAAAAATATCATAAACTTACAGTTGAACAGCTACAAAGGGCTATTGTATGATAAATGAAAGATATTTACGCTACCAGGTGTAAATACAACAAAGCCAAGAGAGTGATACGAAATACATATTATACAGGGCTTAAAATGATAAATTGTGAACCAGTGTTCTGATTTTCTATGATTCATTAGACATCATTTTTAAACTGTGTTTATGAACAGTATTACTGATTATATTATCTAGTAACTGGGGAAGAAGGCCCACAAACGCAGCTCAGCCCCAGTAGGCCTGACACACCCCTGGTCAAAATGTACTATTTTTTAGAAAACATCTTTTGCTGTTATTCCATGATCTTTAAAAATGTCTCTCAATCTCTTTTCAGCCACCTGTTTTCCACTAAGACGGATGCCCGTTACCCAGACACCATCGCAGTTACCTACGACCCCGTCAGCCACTGGCTCAGCTGTGTGTATAATGACCACAGTTTGTATGTGTGGGATGTGAGAGATGTCAACAGGGTGGGGAAGGTGCACTCTGCCCTCTTCCATGCTGCCAGTGTCGGGGACCTGGAGGTAAACAGGAAGGAGAAAGTGAATGATACACACTCAAACCAGCCCCTGATTCAGTGTGTAGTTAATATTTATACAGTGGATTGAATTAATCAATACCACTTCAATGCCAAAATTGGGCCGTTGATAATGTTAGTGAACGCGGACCAGTTTGTGAAACAATAATGGATAATATTATTAGATTTTGTCACTTTATTACATTAAATAGGGTATATATTAATATTATACTGGTCTTAGCAATAAAAGGCAATTCATACTTTATTGTAAAAAAATATTCTCCCGCCCTTCCTCAGATGTTCCCAGATGTTCCTGGGGAGCTGGGTGCTGGGCTGTCATCAGGTGCATTCCTTACTTGCTCAGCTGATAACACCATCAGACTGTGGCGCATGAACGATTGGACACATTCTCAGAACATCCTCAGCAGTGTAAGTTTGACTTCAAACATGCTGTATGTTTTAATGTGGTACAAAATAAATGTATTCTCCCTTTGATGGGATTTGATGATTTCTTCATTCCCCATTGCTTTGCAGGATCTCCTGAATATAATTCACATAGATGGAAACACTAGTGCCTTGCTGGATCCAGAATGTACAATAAATGCGAATGCAGAGAAACCAGGGGACGGACAGGCAGCAGAAAGCAAGACGGGCATCCGGACCATCTGTGTCAGTCCAGACGGCAAACACCTGGCATCTGGGGATCGCAACGGGATGCTGAGGTAGGACAAGAAGGCATAAATTGAGAGTGATGACTGACTGACTGAGGTGGCCTCTATGCTGAAAAATGTGAATTTATATTGTGCAGGGTTCATGACCTCTGCAGCATGGAGGAGATTCTCAAAGTGGAAGCACATGATGCTGAGATCCTCTGTCTTGAATACAGTAAACCAGAAACTGGTCAGTGTGTGTGTATGTGTGTGTGTATCTATCAGTGATCATAATAATGGCATGCTTGAAGAATATTTGTGCATTGTTTATACAATATATGTGATTAAGCTGCCTTATTACTGTTAGGTCTGAAGCTGCTGGCTACAGCTAGCAGGGACCGTCTGATTCATGTCTTGGATGCTGAGGACGACTACAGTCTGGTGCAGACACTCGACGAGCACTCTTCATCCATAACAGCCGTCCGCTTTGCTGGTGAGCCACTTGAGATGATTTCAACATCTGACAGCTAATCTTTTCTTAATCCAAGCTTTCATCTCCATTCAGTCCCACACAAAGTCCCTCCTTTATTTCACTTGCAGCCCTGCTTGTTTAAATAATAGACGACAACTATATATATGTAGTCAGGTGGAGCTCTGTTTGTTATAAGCAAAGCCTTTTCTTGTCTTTTATTAATTCATTAAGTCTAGGTTTTCTTTAGATTGTGAATTCTTCTTAAAATACTAGTTTATAGCTGACTGGTAAAGACTATTTTTTTGTATTGCCTACAGGCCTTAATGACTCATTTTTGTAAAGTTCAAAATAGTAATCACTGAAAAATTGTCTTTGTTCTTCAGCCAATGACAACAAGGTGAGGATGATCAGCTGTGGGGCGGACAAGAGCATCTATTTCCGCACTGCATACAAGGTAAGACATGTCTGAGCAAGATTCAATCCACCAGCTCCCACCATCAAGCATGCATCTTTCCACAGGTGGAATCGGTTATAGAATATCCAATAAACACAGAAATGTGCACAAGTGACTATGAAAATATTAATGCACCAACTGAAAATCACCATCATATACCTAAACTATAACTATATTTTATGTAATACTGATGATTAGCTTTTTTTGCTGAGCGTTTGATGAGAAGATTGATGCCAGTCTCAATCTGTCTGTACAGTAGATATTTAGCTTAGCACTTAGGGACTGAAAACGGAGAGAAACAGCTAGCCTAGGTAACAAAATCTGCCTCCTAGCACCTTTAAAACTCACTAATTGATAGTTACCTTTTGTTTGTTTATTCTGTACGAAAACCAAAATGTAAAAATGACATGTAGCTAGCCAGGCTAGCTGTTTCCCCCTGTTTCCAGTCTTTGTGCTAAGCTAAGCTAGCCATCTGCTGGCTCCAGCTACATATTTGCCATACAGACACACGAGTGGTATTGATCTTTTCATCTAACTCTTGACAAAAAGTTAGTCAACCTATTTTCAAAAATAATTATCCTTATAAATTTTCATATATATTCATAGTTATTGCTTATTTTGCTCAAAGTATTTTATAAAAGAGATATAAAAGCAATTTTTAAAATCACTGTAAAATGACTGGTTTCTTCTGACTTAGTGCTTAATTTCAGTACAGAGGGACACTGATTAAACAGCAGACTAACTTGCTACAGCAAAAATTATTTCCCAAAATAATCTCATAATTCTTTCTGGCCATTAAAGACACAATAAGGAGCTAATCTTGGTTCAGCATTATTTGCTGCTTCATTGCTTTTGGCTCAAATTGTTCATTAATTCCTCACATTAAGGACTCATTGTGCAGCACAACAGTAACGCAATCTTTTTAGCTTCTGTCTGTGAATAAAACTCTACAGCATGTACCACAAAAGGAGCATATGGGCTGCAAGTTGTATAACGAAATGCAATAGAAAGGACTGCTTCTGGGTTACTGGGACAGTGTTCTGTTCGGTCGGAGTTGCATAAGTTACAGCATTCTTGTTAAACTTAAGACACGATTCAGGCCACTGCAGTGACTCATGAACACTGTAGAGCACAATAAACAATGGCTTGTTAGTTTTCAGTAAAACGTCTCCCCAAGATCCAGACATTTATGGAGTATTCATTGTCGAAACTTGTTGTGACAGGTTTGTGCTCCCCGCAGAACGTAAATGAGCATCCTCTATGCTGTCTGTTATCATTATCTGTGTTTTAAGTATTCCAAATGGTAATAGTCTTTTCTGAATGATTGGATGTGCTGAGTTTCTGTAGACTAAACTTCAAAAATGATATGACTTATTTTAACTCACATTGGATCTATGCCAGGCATATTTATTCTGCCAGACTTTAACTGAGGCAACTACTTTCATCTGGTTTTAAGCATATCAACTATGTGTATAATCCAACTTTTAAGTTACACATATTGATATTGATTCAAACCGATCCTTGCAGCTTTCAGCTCTGAATGCATAGGTGAACTTTGCTACTTTCCAAACAATACAAATGCATGTATCCACTGCAGCGTCTGTTTAGCTTTCTATGTTAGATGAGCTGCAAGCTAAATTATACTTACTGCTTTCCAACTGAAGTGTGCCTTTTGTGTATACATACATGTAATACTTTAGAAACAGAGACAGAAAATAAGGGACAAATATGCAGAATGTAAAGGTCAGGTCTGGCCAGCTTTGCTTACTCCACAGTCAGGTCAATTGTTAGTTGTAATCAAATTATATTCCCTAAGTGGGTCATTAAGCATAATGATAACCATCAGTGAGCTGTAAGGTTAAGTTGTAATGTTAATCATTTTAATTATTTTAATGGGACTCCATGAAGATGCTGAAACAGAATGGCACACCCAGTAGACCAACTGTGCACCAATTCAAATAGGCAGATGGAAGATATCAGCTTATGTGACTTTTATAGCGTTGGTTGTATTTCAAATGCTGATTTTGAGTTTGTATCTTTTAATCACTTTCCCTAAGTTTCTTCCAATCTAATACTAAAAGCTACAGCAGCCTTCCTCCTCAGCACAGACATGACAGTGTTTATTCTTGTTTTGCAGACTGACAGAGGAACAGAGTTCAGGCGTTCCCATCACATGGTGAGGAAGACCACCCTGTACGACATGAGTGTGGACGCCACCTGCAAGTACGCTGCTGTTGGCTGTCAGGACCGCTGCATCAGGTGAGCATGTGGGCACATGTTTTTGAAGGTTGATGTGGTTAGAAATTAGAAGGAAATCATAGAAGAAACTCTTTTTTTTAATTTATGACTTTTTTTTCCCTTTTCTGACTGCAGGATTTTCAACATCAGCAGTGGCAAACAGAAGAAAGTCTACAAAGGATCACTCAGTGAGGATGGCAGTCTGCTCAGGGTAACATTTCCCTCCACAGACCTCACTCCAAATGCCTTTCTCTTCCTATATATTCTGTGTGTTGACTATAGAACTCTTTTTTCTTGCAGGTCCAGCTTGATCCGTCAGGTCAATACGTGGCCACCAGCTGCTCAGATAAAAACATCAGCATCTTTGACTTCTACACTGGGGAGTGTGTCGCCACTATGTTTGGACACTCTGGTAACAGAACCCACACCTAAACCTCACATACACATATTTAATTATGTCAAACTGAGCTGTGAATAAATGACACTTTTAAAGCAGTAGGGAACTTTATCTATCACCTAACATTGCCAGGGAGCATAATATGACTAACTTTGCCATGTTTTTTGTTTTGCAGAGATTGTCACTGGGATGAAGTTTACCAACGACTGCAAGCATTTGATTTCCGTGTCAGGGGACAGGTGAGAAACAATCCAGTGCATGGATTCACAGAAAAGGCGTATTAGTTCTATATTTATAATCAGAGCTCTAATAACAATGAGATATCCAAATATTAATAGAATAAAAATACTAGAGAAAACCTGGATTGGAGCAGCACCTAAATTAAAATCATCTTCAGCCTCTGCTGCCAGAGCAAATGAGCAGGGAAATGTGTTTGCAGACAGTTTCCTCAATAGTCAAACTGGAATGAAATGTTGAATTTTTAATGCCCAAATGCTTTTATCTCCCAGCTGTATCTTTGTGTGGCGACTGGCTCCAGAGCTGACAATCAGCATGAGAGAGAGGCTCTGCCAGCTCCGACAAAACCCGAACACACAACCCTGCAAGACCTCCAGTCTCAGGTGACGACATACACACACACACACACCCTTCAACTCCAAAGGACCTTTCATTGATTACATTCATCCCATAAACTCCTCATAGAGCGCTCATTATTTTGTCTGTTGTGTTACTCCAGGCGAGAGGTGTACAGTGCCCCCACTCTGGGTGGTCTGTCCTCTGACAGTGACCGTGAGCCCGAGGAGGACGGAGCAGAGAACGACGACCCCAACGATCCAGAGGACATCACAACCAATACCTCCTCTGACAGCAGCCATGGAGAGGAGGACACAGGTACCGTCTAATTATGAACTGAATTAGATCACAGTGCTGACTTAAATCCAGGTGTTTATCAAGGAAATTACGAATTAGAACCCTGTAATAGTGACTACGTGTTTGGGTGCAACCACCTGTGTTGGAGAGTCAACTATCTGTAGTAATCCTGACCTATATACTTTCTGTGGAGGACAGCTTTTGATAGAAACTATCCAGTGATCAAACAAGTATTTAATTATTTTGAAGCTTCTGATTATCGTGCTCTTTCATACAACAGGTGGCTCAGATGAAGGACAGGACTGGGAGCTGAAAAAGGTTGGTGATTATATTTAATGTTAAGAGTGTTATCACTTTAAATGAATGAATAATTTTTAATGCTTTTGTATTAGAAATATTAAATGTGAAGAAAACCATTCCACTATATTTGCATGTTGTTATTTCCATAGAAAAAAACATATTTTCTAAATTCCAATAAAAATCTTTAACATCATGATAAATATTATTTTAATCTCAAGGTATGACATAGATTTTCTTTATCCTATGTTTTGAATGCAGTATATAATATTTTTCTTTTGTGTGTGTATTATGAGCATTGACAGGTGAATAACACGATTATCTGTATGGCCAGCCCTATTATGTAGTGGGATATATAGGCAGCAAGTGAAACATTTTGTCCTTAGAGTTGATGTGCAGAAGCCAGAAAAAGGGCCAGCGGAGGATTTAAGCGATTTAGGGCCACCATTTGAATGCTAAGACGACGGGTCAGAGCATCTCTAAAACTGCAAGCTCTTGTGGGGGTTTCCGTGTGCGCATGAAGTACCCTATCCAATTAAGTGCCCACAGAAAACGAAAAGCGGTGAACCGAGACAGGCCATGGCAACCAAGGCTCCAGTGAGCCATGTGGGGGGAAATGAAGCGGCCCCTGTGTCCAATCCAACAGACGAGCAACAACAAGTTAAGCTGTCTGATAGAAAGGTGTAGAGCACACCAGGAGTCAGCAGTTGTGTGTTGGCTCATTAAGTAGCGTGAGTGGGCGCCTTAAGAAAATACACATAATATATATAAAACGTAATATAATGTAAGGTACGTATATAATACAAAATATTTAATTCATAATCTTAAATTCAGAA